GAAGGGGTCGAGTTGGGGGAGTCCCTAGGCTGATGGTCTTGCTCATACCCCGCGATGTGGACTTGCAAAGTCTGACACCGACAGTAATCGTATCGAGGTCCATCGGAGCAGGGTCGGAAAATTTCCAGGAAAAGACCGAGGGCAACGATTGACCCTGTCCCAGCTAATCCAAGTTTGCAGGACTAGTAAAACTGAATTATGATTAGTCGTAGGGAATAAGAATGCAAAGCAAACCTCAACGGATATTTAACCCTAGCTGGGTTCGGAACATCCCTGATAGCAGTTCCTTTCTTCAGCCAGCTTTCTTATATGATAAATACGCACTCATGTCTGATTACATGGAGGGAGTGGGCTTACTGCGATTAGGTGAACGGTAAATAGTCCCATGTCCTGGACTGTTTACCGTCCCTCTAATCGCTGTAAGTCCAATCCCTGCATGTAATCAGGCATGAGTGCGTATCCAGCAAACAATCTAATCTTCAGCGTTCTTACGCAGACCTTCAGATGCCTCAGAGTATGAAAATACATCACAGATTAGCCTGTTTTTTCGCCGCATACTTCACTTTTTCTAATAGCCACATGTCCTTGCACCGAAAATGATTTAATGATTGGTGGAAAATAATCAGCTTTGCACTCAATGCTGACAAACAACTAGTACAGAGTTTTTGCCATCCGCCACGGTCCAATTAGGCCTTATGAAAAAACTCGTGCACTCTGCACATAGACCCTGGTTTTTATGAACTGTTTCCTGAAGAAAAAATCGACTTGCAATGTTTGGAAAAAAGCTCGATTTACATTCGAAAAGATTTTCTCGGAAATTCTGTGCAAATGTAGAAGTGATCCTTCTCCTGAGAAGCTGCATTCAGCTGAAGGTCAAGAAGATGAAGGCTTGAATGGATACCAGCCAGGGTCAACCGTCACGTTGGACCAATTTCGAAAATTTTACGACCCCCTCCCCCTTCTAGAGGGCCTCGATACGACCCCCCCTCAGGGTTAACCCTTCACGACCATCCTCCACCACCCTCGCCTGCCATCGCCATCATGGGGGCTCTATAGTATTTGATTCTGAGACCAGTCGACACAGCCCAACTCCGCCCACTTTTTCCTCCAAAATTGCCGTCGAGCGGGGGGGGGGTATAGTATCAATGTGAGCGTGAGACGGGCGGTTATATAAAAAATGCTCGCCGTACAATAATCAACTCCCGTTTCATAAAGAAAATAAAAAAACATCCCTTCCTTACTGTAAAATTGACGCTACTTCGCAAAATACGACCTCCCCCTTTTCCACCCCCAAATATGACCCCCCACCCCTTCGTTGGACTTTGTCCAACGGACGGTTGACCCTGCTACCAGCGCGATTTGATTTGAAGACCCCAATTTCTACAGAATTACCGCACGTTCTGGCTGGTTCTAGAGGAGACGCGCGCAATGATGGTGCCATCTTCAGAGGGCAAACCGCTTGAGGAAGCCGTCTGAAAATCGCGCTGTTGGATACTTACTTTACGAGAGAAAGTTGCCAAGAAGTTCGATTCCTACGTTAGCTCTGAGTACTCGGCGACGTTGTTTGTTCCCGGCAAATTTGTTACCCGAGCTGTTTCCATTATTTGGGAAAAAATCCTTCTAGCAATAATTTTCCTTCTTGTGCATTGCAATCAGAGAACGTCTTGATTCTGAATTTTTCAGCGTTACAAAATAGTCTAAAGCGAAATTGGTGGCCGAAACCTTCATCACGAATTGATCGATCTCAGCTTGTCGACTGGATTTGCTTTTCTGTCTGACATGTGAGATAGTGTATGTAGTCTCATATGTATATACAATGCATGTAGTTGGTCACAGAGGTTTCTATGCATTTCGTTTTGAAGCGATTTTTGCAAGATTTCTCTGAGATGGTTTTTTTGCGCAGCCACAAATCGAATGAGATGGCATTTAGCGAATAACAGCTGTCAGTTTTTCCACGGTATCCATTTGAGGGTACAGGTATTTGATGCGCAAATATTCATAGATAGAAGTAGAGGAATTCTGAGATTCACGCGAAAAGGTTTATTATTTATTATTATTTATTTATTTATTTTATTATTTATAATGCATAAATAAACGAGGTATGCTTTCGACTGCAAAAAGGCATGAGGCGTACAAAAATAGACATAAATGGACGTCGATCGCTGCAAAACTGACCTCTCTCAAATGGACATGTTGGCGATGGGGGTGGTGTCTGCATCTCTCCTGTCCTCACTATCTCTATTCTTCTCGTGCTCGCTCTTCTCTGGTAACGCGATCACGGCGAAGATCACAGAAAAAGTTAATTTCTTTTCAACGGTTCGAGATGTTTTCCTTAGTCTGTTTGATTCCTTTATTACCATCAGCACATTTCACTTCAATTTTTGGTTGACAGTCGAAGTAACTGTTACTTTGATATGGTAATTGAAAGTGTACTGAACCTTTGCGAGGGAGTCATCAGGTGGAGTTGCCAAGTAGTCGAAAGCACAATGGCGTTAGCCACTGAAAATTGCACGCGGCATGGAAAAGAATCCGGGTTCCGGCCTCTTCAATGACCAGAAGAAGACTTTTTTTAGCTAATTTGTGGGGCGGTGCACCACAATGTAGCGTGATAAAGGTACAGGTTTCCCGACTAGATCTCGAAAGAATTCTCCCCTTCAGTCAGATCGCAGGATCACTAAACAAAAGGGGTGGTGATATGCTGGAACTTGAAATTGCGCGACAAGGGAGCTAGCGCCTTCGCTTGACCGCTGCGACCGCTGTCATCCTTACTCATCGCAGCAAGACATGGCGTGCGGGCCTCTCGGCGTACGACCGGATGCTTGGCTCGCTTTATCCGCGTGCGGGTGCGTCTTCTCCGTTCGTACCTATGGTCAACTCACAAAAAATTTCAATATATGCCTGCGGTATGAATTTTGTTTTTCATTCTCTATGTTTCTTTCTCAACTTTTTCGTTTATGGTTGAAGTAAAACAGCCACCTATCCACGCGACCTGTGCTTTAAGTATTATTTGTCCGTGCATTCTTGATTTAAGTCCGAATAGGCATTCATATTTTCAAATGCGAAAGCAAGTTCCATGTCTGGTTAGCGATTTTGGAGAGTCGGTTTAATAGCATTATCTCTACTTTTGCTGCTTCCTAATCGTGGTCGGCGCCTGTTGCATTCGGAACATTCCAACTGTTACGAAGCCTGAGGCGAGGCAGCTTCTTGGGTCTCACTTGTAGAAATCAGTTTTCAATCGTAGAAGTCGATCATTATTCACTTTTTATCATCAAAATAAATATAAGCAATCGTCACACTAAGAGATCGGCCATTTCATCACACACATGTCAAAATATTGCTTAATAATTTGGCGTGCATTGAAGCACACCACCCGATCGAGAACAGCTTGTTAAAGCAGATAACCAGCTACAGTACGCTACAGTAACCTCTACGTCAACACTACGGTAGCCGTCTATGGCTCGGAAATGCTCAACACAGTTTGTTTGGGGAAGATTTTGACTTGAGTTGTATGATGTACGCTCCGAGGGTTACGCTTTGCAGAGACGACTTTTATCCTGATCGTAAAATTTGCCTGCGGTAAGATGGGCCGTCGCCAGCACGTTGAGCGCTTCTTCCTGAAAATCGTTCGTTTTTGGGTTTTGGGGGAGGATAGGCTACATAGAAAACTGGGGTTTTGAAGCTTTTTAGGTAGGTAAAGGTGGCCCAGTGGCAATACACGCCGCACCTCGGCGGACGGAGTCCCCCTCCCCCTCCCCCAAGTCGCCATGGCTTCCTGTCGTTTCAAGTTACGCTCTTTTACGGATCTCAATGGTAGTGGAATGCGTAGCTCATCGCAGTGGGCCTTGAAAGTATACCATATTTCCTATGAATTTTCCTCAAGAAGACCCCACGGCAAATTCTATAGCACAGTGCCAAGGAAAGCCGCTCCCAAACACTCGGTCGTTGGCTTCGAAGACGGCTGGCCTAGTCAATCTTTTCTTCTTTCAGGATTTGGGGCTTATTACCAGACATATCTAGATCTGATATACGACTGCTGCTATCATCGTCGTGATCGGAGTATGCATTCAAGCACCTCCACAAATCTGGTTTGGAATCGAGTTCATGGCGTATTCATGACAAAAACCTACCACACTGATCAGCGTCTTCTTGAACACTGTGAGCATCCGTCGATGGCGATCAGGCATGTTCCGAGAGACGTTGGTGACAGCGTTCCCGGGGTTCACGGCCACTGCCGTGACACCGTCGACACGATTCAGACGCGATGCCAACAGTGTGATGGCGAATTTGCTGAGCGCATACGCTCTCCAGCCAGATCTCATCCGTGGACGAAACGCCTCGACCCATTCGTTCGCTTCCTTGGGCACACGCCAACGTGGCCAAGAGGCACCGCAAAGCCTGCAATTTGCACAAGTTGTTGACAGTTGTACCTCGGAGATTATTTTCCTCAGCTTTTCATAATAAACAAGACATATCGCGCTAAGTAATGACTATTTATGGGGATTTGTGCACGTAAAGATGTGATTAGGTGACTCACTTGAATAAAGCCGATGAGACGCATACGAAATGGATTTGATGTTTAGCCGGACGGCATTTAATCAGCACATCGGCCAGATACATATGACCAAGCACGTTCACCTAAAAATATAAGGATAAGGATAAAGCATTTGCCGTTGATCAATCCCTTTTTGGGATGCGGCACGCATTCTACTTCCATTTGTACATTCGTAGTGGCGTTTGAATGCGATGTGGCCTATACAATGACTTGCGGGGGCCAGCCGATGTACAAGTCAGTGTTTTTATCCTCCCAGACAAGTCTGGTACCAATTAACCGACCCCGGAGGGATGGAAGGCTTGGTTGGCCCGGGCGACTCACGACCCAGGATTTGATCCCCGGACCGCTCGCGTGGTAAGCGTGCCACTTGCCACTACACCACTTCCGCCCAGAAGAAAGTTAATCGTAATTTTATGACCTCAGTTTGAGACAGTGTATCATATGTGGATCATAGAGTACTTCTGACAGAATAAGGTTTGAAAGTCCATCAGAGACATTTACACCAAAGCTTATAGCGTAGTTCTATACCGAGCACTCCTTTTATTTATTTACT